TCATTTGTTGTCCACTGTCAAAACCAAGATATTACACTACATCAGCTTTGGGCCAGAATGAAGATAGATTATAATATTAGAACATTTTAAATGCTGGCTCTGCTAATAATGATTTTTATTTTTGGTATTTTTGTATGGTGTATTTTTTTGCAAGCAACCTTTACCAATAGGCAAACATTTTTAACATGAAGACATTGCATAATTTTGTTTTATGTGGTAACTTCCATGTAGGTGACAATCAGTGAAAATTATCTGATCTGTGCTGTGGAAAGGCTCACATTGCAGTGTCAGCAAGACTAGAAAAAGTTAATGGGATGAAAAATACTTTTCCTTCTATTTTAAGATGACAGGATCACTAGCAAAACAAGAAAGCAAGAAAGGGTCCTGTATATCCTGGAGAAAAGAAACCTTTATTCCAGCAATTGCCCGCTAGAGATCATGAAAGGATACTCACATTTTCTGATCAAAATAAATGTGAAAAACAGTAAGGGAAAATATCTACAATGAGAAGCCATGAAGAGTTTTATTTACTAAGAAGAGAGCCTTTGCACACATGCACAAAAAATTAGCACAGCAGAAGCACAACCACTGCCTGGTTCTTGGACGCTGATTGATTTTTAGGTAGGGAGTGTTTGCAAGGTTCAAAGGGAACACGCTAAAAGGAGATTTCTGAGAAAAGCGTGTATATCTATTATTGATTGTAATAGCTGTAGGAAGACCTTTTGTGCTACCATGGACTTGAAGTGCTCTTCATATTTTGAAGTTGTGATCCTAAGTAGTCTGAGTAAACTCTTGAAAACTTGGATGAGGAAGACACTTCTTTTAGATGCTGTTTGGTGGAAATTGGAGAATGGAAGAGTATTTCTCAGGTTTCTTTACAATTTTCGTTCATACATTTACCTATAAACCAAACTTTTATAGAGAAATGAAAAATCCCTGCAATTAGTGACTGTACTCTCCCAGGGGTACTTGATGCTTGGATGGTGAGTAAGGGCAGGGCCAGGCAACATTTCACCATGCTTCCTCATAGAATTACCCATAGGAAATAAAATAATTTAATTTATTTTGAGAGGTGCCTACAGTAAAATACTATTATTTGTGCTTTGATGTTTTCCCAACCTAAAGTGTCTTTATAGAAAAACTGATCATATTTGCTATTGAACTTTATCCTAATGGGATTGCAGGATTTCCTATGCAGTCTCAGTTTACAGATGGGGTCAGGCCTCACAGCTCCCTTTCAAAGCACAGCCTTAAATTTGTTCCTTGAGGTACCTCACCAGGAGTGGAACATGAACATGGGTCTGTGAAGAGAGGGCCTGTGGCTCCCAGTCAGCCCAGTTACACTTCACATCTCAGCCTCTCTGCATCATGGTGCCAAGGAATGAAGCACTTGCCAGTTCAGCTGCTCTTCCCTGAAAACCTCCAGAGTAAACAAGGTCTTAGCTTCCAGAACAGCAAGATCACTAAAAGCAAGGCCGTGATGACACATTAGTCAAGAGACAGGGTTAAAAATAACCACTCAGAAGAGACACCTATTGTGGAAATACAATATTGTTTGAGATGCTGGCCTCATGGACATGAAATTTTCTCTGCCACGGAACTAGTAAGAGCCTGCTTAAGTACTGAATCACTACATATTTAATCGGCTAATTGTGTGCTGTGTTGCAGTGTGACTTAAAACTTATGTATGGGTGGGTTGATCCCATCCCAAAGATGGGACAATAGCAAGAGGAAGGAGGGCTGGGAAAGGAGTGTGTGGACTGACTCTCCCAGCTTGCTGGCTCTGATAGCTCCCCACTGTCCATCTGTTCTTTCTCCCCACAACTCATTCTCAGCCACGAGTGTTTCCCTCTGCAGACATGCTCTTCAGACAGAGAACATCTCAGCTGGGTGCCACAGGGAGCTTGGGTCTCCTTTACAGGTGTAGCTGCTCCCATCTGTCTTTGCACCCCCCCCCCCCCCCCCCCCCCCCCCCCCCCCGCCCCCCCCCCCCCCCCCCCCCCCAACAGGGACATGGCAGCAGCCCCCTTCCCTCTGCTCTCTTGCTAGTGGGCTTGGGAGCCTCAGTCATCTATCCTGCCATGCCCCCCTAAAATCCCCTGGTGCCACCCTCAACCCCTGCTCCCTACCCTGATCAATGGCTTTTTAATAGAGCCTCCGTTCTCCTACCCCTCCTTTTGTAAATTTAAATCCTGCTCACCCAGTACTGCTGACGTCCTGCTGGCCCACCTCTTGACTCCCCCTCCCTGCTTCAAGTCCACTTCCCTCCAGTATAAAAGGCACATGCCCCCATCAGCTGCCCTGCATCTGCTTGGAGCAGCGACTACCTGAGAAGCATCTTTGGCGCATACAGGTGAGTGCCTTCCCTTGTCTGCTTCAGCGCTTGTCCGGGCTCTTTCGTGCTGAATTTCATTTTATTTCATTTTGGGCTTTAGCTCACCTAGGTTTACATGCACAGCTGTGCTCTGTGCTCAGTAACTTTTGCCCAGTTTTTGTTAGCGAAGCAGCCCGTGCCGAGGCAGGGTGGCTGACCCCGCGGGCAGCGCTGTGCCCTGCAGGGAGAGCGCGGGCGGGACAGCAGCACAGCCCTGCACCTCTCCGGCCGCCCGGCCCTGAAACCAGCCTGCTCACCCGGGGGCTGATCCCTCGGGCGTGCTTCCAGCGCTGCTTTCCAACAGGAAAGCTTTCCACATGTGCACCGGAGTGGGTGTACACAGCCGCCGATCTCAAGAAAGATGCTGGTTTAGGGGTAAAGAGTTAGTAGCATCTTGTCTTCTGAGGACAGCTGTGGTAGGGGTATATCTGATGGATCTGCAGCAGAGCTTGAGTTTGGTATGATAAGAACCCCTGTGTGCTCAGAGGGAGAGCCAGGCTGATCTCCTGGTGAAGCAGACCCATGGCAAGCTGTGATACTGCTGCTTCACCATAGCTTTGTTTGTGGCTTTAATTTTCTCCTCTCATGTCGCTGAAAGTTGCCAGACATCTGTCACAGATGTTGCTTAGCCAAAGTTTAAAGACTCTGCTTGGGCACCAAGCAGAAGTGGCAAGTTGATCAAATTACTGTGGCACTGAATTTTCCTGAGCTTCAGGATCAAAATTATTCCTGAAACTTTAAATTGCGCCACGTTTGGTTGCAACTAGTCAGTTTTAAAATTTTTATTATTTAATAATTGAAAATGGAGGCACACAGCTTGACTGTGTGAGGTCTTGTTCTTTTTCAATTTTCCTATTGGAAGAAAGCTGCAGGTCTGGACCTGAGGAGATCACAAGCCATCTCAGCCACACGACTCTTGAAAAGTCTGTGCCTAGGTAATTAGGCTTTTTGCTTAGTGATAAGATGGAGCTGGGTGTTAGGAATGCTCAGGGTCAAGTTTGTGGCAGTACCTCAGCCTCTGTTTCTTCCCATACAAACAGTGATGGGACAATTAAGTGTAGGAAAAATTAGGGAGGATTAGAAGTGCTGAGTGCCCCGATTATTTAGGGTAGGGTGAAGAGCAGTGGGAATGATGTGCTTCACAGAAACCCTAGCCAGGACAAGGGTATGAACAAAAAGTTCAATATATATCAGTGCTGTAGAAAGTGGCTGCAGTGGCAGAGGACCAGATGGTGGGGACTGAAGCACAGCAGTGCCTAGGAAAAAGTGTGTGCTAAAAGCTTTTCCCTGTATTTTTGTCTTTCTTCAACAATGAGCTCAAGGCAAACTCTTTTTTCTGTAACTTTGTTCCCAAAAAACCCCAAGACACAAAACCAGGGAGCAAGTAACCGGGAAAACTTGTCAGCAGCCCTGTGAACACACCACAGAGATGCCTCAAAACACCTTCCTTTTGTCCCACTGAACCTAAGGCTTTGCTAAAAATGGAACAACAGGAGAGGTACCTCAGCTGAAACTGAGGGCAGAATTCACCCCATGTGGGTGAATTCTTCATGCTAAGATAATTTAGTCCTGATTGTCATGAGATTGTTTTGTGATATTCAAGTTAGAAAAAGTTAATTTGCAGGTCTGAAATAATGAGTTAAAATCACTTTCCTCTAAGCTGCCTGGTAAGAAACTGTCATTGTGGGAAAAAGTCCTTGAGAAAACCTCACTGAATACTAGGGGTGAAGGAGCTTTTAACTGTGTTTTAGTGAAAGACACAACCAACTTCATGTGTTTTTGCTGTGTTGCCTGTTTGGTGTGTTTGGGAGCATCTTGCATCGAAGATTTTCATTCATGCTCTGCCTTTACTGAAAACAGGCTAAGATTTTGGGAGCAACTGGGGAAAAATTCCACCAATACACAAAGAGAAGGCACATCTGAGAGGTTTTCCTACAGCCTCTGTGCCTGTATATCTACATCACTTACACAATGCTTAAGCAAATAGGCTCCTGCTCTATAGGCACAGGCTCCAGGATGTCAAATGTACAGGCAAACCTTGCATGTCACAAGACAGACTGTCCTGGTGCGACAACTGGGAGAGCTGCCATGAGGAAGCTTGTACAAAATTCAAGAGACAGTGGTAACCAGAGTCTGGCTCCCTCCCCTTCCTGGATGCAACTTTCCCAGCTCAGCACCTTCTGTTCTGCTGAGCCTATTCTACAGAAGCTAGGAGGGATTTCTCATTCTGTTGCATCTGGGTGCATTTACAGGACCGGGACATCTACCAGAGGAAATTGTATCTGGAAATTTTAATTTTGCATGCTGGCAAAAAAGGGTGTAATGTCACAAGAGGAGCATTGGTATTCATACTGAAATGCATTTAGTTGTAGAAAGAGTGTGTAGAACACAATTGTTAGATACATTTTATAAGCAAGGAAAAGCCTGTGGTCGTACAGAGAGCCATACAGGATCAGCAGTGAACTCAGGGCCAGGACTCAAGTGTCCTGTGAAGGCTTTCACTGCTGGAGAGAAAAACTCTCCAGTTTTTACATCAGTAAATGGCCCACTTCATAGCCTTTGCCTTCAAACAGAAATGGCCACGACATCCCCAGCATGAGTGTTCTACAGAACTTAGAGCCATGAAATGGCTCTGATGGATGGGAACCTATTGTTAAAGTTGACACATTCCTTCACCTTGAGAGCTTTAACTCATGTGTTCCCCATGTTCACTTTTCTCCTTTACAGCCTTCCCAACACTGCTCCATCATGTGGCATCTAATCTCCTGGACACCACGTGCCCAGTGGTCACCAAACCACTTAAAGTTAGTCACTGTCTATGTCCTGATGCTCTTGGTGTCGCTCAGCTTTGCTTCGGGACAGAGCAGGCCATTTAAACATCAGATAGACAACAGAAGTAAGTATGAGTCTCACCGGACATGGTGACCCCACAGTCTCAGCTGCACTGAGGGATCAGGGCTGGGCTGTCAGGCAAAGTTCAACAGCAAGTCATGCAGGTGTTTCCATGGTGTCACCTTGGTGTGAAGTCCTGTGCTTCCATTTGCACTTGTCAGTGTGTATACAGAACCTCATGTCCTTCTCACAGCCCTTAACTGGTCAAGTCAAATAGCATTATTTTTGATGAATATCAGAGAAGACACTAATGTGCAAAGGACAGACAAGAAAATGTAAAGTGGTATACATCAAATATTTAAGCACCAGATTTTCAGCTGTGTTCTGTAGACATACACAATTACTTCTATATAATAAAAAGTAAGCAATGGCCCAGAAGCTTTAGTTCACTTTACAGACATCTTCAATTCTGTCTGCAGCTGTGAATTGTCTGAAAATCCAAATACAAGTGGTTGAAGTATCTCAATTCAGAGATGCTGCGAAGTACTGAGAGTATCCAGGTCAGGTGTGATACCATGTATCCAAAATTTAAACTAGCACACAATCCAAAAGATCTTTGAGAAAATCACCAAGAAATCTCATCTCCCAAGG